ACATAATGCCATTTCTACAGTATTTAAGTTCTAAATATAGCCTCATTGCATCACATTTAGACGCTGAATGGGATAGACAAATGCAGTTCTATCTGTCTTGCACCAAAATTCTTAAAACCACTTTTTGAATTGAATATTACTGTCAACTGTTATACTGACTTCTTATTGACCAATATTTAGAAAGTGTGATTAGAACTATTCAAAGCAAAGAAGGTTGAAATGACAGACTTTCAAGCAATTTGGATTAGCTTACCTGAATGTTTTGTTATTGTTGTCATTAGAAACTAGCAGGTCTTATAGAAACTTTTTTTAGCGTTGTAATTTTAGCGTATAAATGCTTTATTTAAATATTTAGACTAAAAAAACCAACCAAACAGGATTGTTGAATTTTTGCTAACAAAAATCAAAATTCATTTCAACAGGTTTACCGTTACAATTCTTAAAAGAAAACTATTGTATAAAGCATGCAAATTTTGCTAGCTTGTTAAAGCTAGCAAAATTTGATAAGGTGTCTGACTGTGTCGACAGTGTGTGGTAATACTTTATTGTGAAGCAATGGATATTAGACATGGTTTAAAGACCATTTAAAAAACAAACCACCAATTTTGTTTTCTTTTCAACAAAAATTTTTTGTTAAACTCCACAGTAAAAAAAAGTTAATAAAGTTTTTTGTATAAAAATTTTGTTAAACTCCACAGTGAAAAAAAAAGTTAATAAAGTTTTTTTTTATAAAAATTTTGTTAAACTCCCCAATTAAAACAAAAGTTAATAAAGTTAATATTACAGCAAAATATTTCCAAACAGCAAAATATACCCAATCATAACAGCAAAGAATACCCAAAGTATTCATTATTGTAATGATGATAAACATATATTCTGTTCACAAAGAGATGTGAATCTTTATATCAAAATGTCATAAAATGGACTAAAAAATTAAATCAATATATAATATAAAGAAATTTTTAAAAAAGCAACACTTTAAAGTGAAAAAACAAACATTGACAACTAGGGCAAGCTGCCCCTGGGCGCTGCTGGAAGTTTTCTTTTTAATTAGTCTTCATAATTTCATAAAGTATTTTTACCTTTCAAGCTTTGAGTGCACAACATTTTTAGTCATTGACTTGAATGCATATTTCAGGTTGAGTACGTACGCAAAGACCTTAGATCCCTAGAAAAAGTTTATTTTTTACTTTTTAGTGTTGTTTTTTTAAAAATTTCTTTATATATATTATATAATAAGTTACTTTTTTAGTCCATTTGAAAAATGTTTTTCTTATTATTTACACTAAACTGAAGTTTGTTTTGAGAAGTTTTTTAACAATTTTATTTACGCTAAGTAAATAAAATTGTTAAAGTTTTTTTTTTTTTTGAACTGCTTGTTTTTACTTTTTTCAATAATTTCAATTTTTAGCGCTGAACTCATGTTTGTTTTGCATGGATAATACAGGCCTTGCGATGAATAAGAACTGCGCAACGCATAAGCACAACGTGATTTTTGACGTCATTAAATTCTTTTTATTTGCTTTTCATATTTATCGACATTAACTGCACCAATTTACTTAATTACCGCAAAACTACTTTAAATCATTTATGTAGAAATGTTATTATTTAAAAATGTTTTGGAATGTTTCGTTTTTTTAAAATGTAAAAACATTTGTTTATTTTCTCGACGTTTGTCACGTTTTGTCCATACTAAACGAATAAAAAAACATTATAACTTAAATTTAAAAAAGATTATAAAATATGCTAATATTTGATTTTTTTTTTTCTTAAATATGTAATTTAAAGTTTTTCAAATAATTATTTTTTCTTTTTAAAATATCAGCGAGTAATAAACTGGAAATTTTAATATTGTACGATTAAAAACTGTGCAATAGCTAATATTTTTACAAGCGATTTTATATAATATTTATTTATTTATTTCTATTTATTTTCAAAAAGCGGTTGATAAGCACAATCACTCGTATTAATAAAAAACTTAAACGAACGTTTTGAATAATTTTTAATGTTAACAAGGAATTTTATTTCTAGTAAAATAAAATAAAATGTTAGAATAAAAATCTTATAGGTATAAAAGAAATATTTCAGCGAAAAAATTATTCTTAAAAATTATTCTTAAAAATTATTAGAAAAACTATTGACGTTCTATTTTTCAGCAGCTCTTCTTGAGCACGCTTCGTTGAGTTTCGGTAACTTTTAACATAAAAGCGATCGTTGTTATTTAAGTAATTTTTTTTGAGTTACTTTTTACAAAAATTTTAATAACTGTACTTTTTTATTGAATCAAGTAGAATACGTTTTAATATTAATCCTTTTTTATTTTTTTATTTGCCTTCACCAATTTTTAAAATGTTTCCTCGAAATTACTCTTAAATACTTTGAATAAGTCTAACAGTTAATAAATATTTTTAAATCTATGGAAATAATTTTAAAACCTAACAAACCCCCGTAAAATAATTATTTAAGTTTAAAATCTAAAACTAAAAGAAAGTATTTTTGTTCAATTTTATCGACAACTTTGCTATTGCTGAATAATTTTAATTAAATGTTAGCTTAAAAGATTTAAACTTTTTTTTTTAATTTTTGAATTTTTTCTACTTGTAAATAATGAGCATATTTAATTTTTTTAAATTCAAACTTTTATTTTAACTGCGTGCGGTTTTTAAAATACTTTATTAAATGTTAAAATAATCGTAAATTACTTCATTAAAATTCCGCTCAAAAATATCTTTAAATATACTCAAACAAAAATTTTTTTTGCTCGACGCAAATAGCCCTAGCTACACTCAAAATTGCTCTTGGACGACGTAAAATTCACATCGCCCGACGCTTTATTGCAAGGCCTGATAATAAAATAAATATACTAACAAGAAATTAAGTTGATAAAAATGTTGTAATAATAAGCTTTACAAACTTTAATCAGAAGTGACCTTAATGATGAATTAAAAAACTTACGTTATGAAGACTTTATGACATCTCCATCTCATTTAAGTTGTTATGACAAATGGATTGAAACAACAATTAGGATAAAATATGAACAAACTGTCAATCGAGGTCCTATCCAACAAATTAACACAGAGCAGTGATGAAACATTCTTAAGAAAATAGTGGCTATGATTTTGTACTTGGTGGGCATAATATTGCAGTCTGTGGAGCTTATTAAAGCTGTACACCAAAAATAATAGAAACTTCCTTGGTCTTATCTGATTACTTGGTAAATTTTGATCCAATTTTGATGGAGCATTTACTGCAAATTGAAGATGGAAAAAAAACGTTCACAAATGCTGTGTCAATATTTAAAACCAAGTCATTAACTTCATCCCTTCATATGTAAAAGAAGGTGTTGTGAACGAGGTAAAGTGACAAAAGTATTTTTTAGTTATAGATTGCACTTCAGACCTTCAAAAAGGCCTAACTTTTCTAACCATCCTCTATGTTCATGAAGAAAATAAAGCAATATCCAAAAAAGTTATTGTTGAAGAAAGTTTTATGGGATATGCAGTGCGACCGGTAAAGCTCATTCTAACCTTCTATTTGAAGAATTAAAGTCTTTTAGGCTAGACCTAAACAACTGTAGTGATTAAGGCTATGATAACAGGTCTATTACGGTTACAATTCGAAAAGGTGTTCAAACTCGGTCTTCAGCAGAATACCCACAAGCCTTATTTACATTTTGTGGTTGGCACAGCTTGATGGTAGTTATATCAGACGCAGCTAAATCATTTGGTAAAGTTTATGTTAGTGTTTGGAGTTTTTCAAAGATTCTATATAACTTTTTTACATTAATGAAGTATTAGGTACTTCCCTAGCACAAAAAAGTCTTTTAAAAATGATATTTTCTTGCCCCTAATTGACACTATTGAATCATTTTTAGAAAACAGGATGAACAAGTTCTTCAAATACAAGTCAAAGCGGGGATTCCTAATTAACCTGAAAAACTACCACCAAAGGATAAACTTAAAGAGGATTATAAAATGTTACAAGAACACTTGACTGTGAAAAACATTTCAGGTGTAAATGGGGAAGAACTGTACAAAAAAAATTAAACATGTCAGTTTGATAGCTACTGTTTTTGATAAATTGTGGCTAAGAAAATGCTATTACTATTAGAACCACTCAATACAATCAAAAACAACACCGACAGAAAAGACCTTTTTACTAATCTGTGATTATCACTACGCATATTGCTGACAATTTCAATGACAGTGGCTAACAGTGAAAGTAGTTTCAGCAAGTTGAAGTTAATTAAAACCTACCCATGTACATCGATGACACGAAAAAGATTGACATTGTTTGAATGTATTTATATATATTTATCTTCATAGTAAATTGGTAGGTGGTTCAGGTATTAGAGTATTGGTGGCAGCACAAAAATTTAATATACATGACTATTACTAAAAAGAGGAGGGGGGTATATATATATATATATATATATATATAATATATATATATATATATATATATATATATATATATATATATATATATATATATATATATATATATATTACATATATATATATATATATATATATATATATATATATATATATATATATATATATATATATATATATTTATATAATATTTTATTATTATATATTAAATGTTTATTAGATTACATATATATATATATATATATATATATATATATATATATATATATATATATATATATATATATATATATATATATATATATATATATATATATATATATATATATAAACCGATTGAAAAAGGTGAAAGAAAATTAAGAAGCTCATTTGAATAATTTGTAATCTAATAAACATTTAATATATAGTACTAAAATATTATATATATATATATATATATATATATATATATATATATATATAATATTTTAGTACTATATATTAAATGTTTATTAGATTACAAATTATTCAAATGAGCTTCTTCCTTTTATTTCATCTTTTTCAATCGGTTTATTACTTTTTAGTGTTAGAGATTAAACAGTTTTCCCAAATTTGTTTTTTCAGTTTAACCCAAGATATGTAATAATTCTGGGACAATTGTTAATGGGAATTGTGTTTTTACTTTTTGGACCATCTCCAATATTATATTCAAGTATACCAAGGTTTGTTTTATATACATGGTATTGTTTTTTTACTTTAAAAATCATTATTTTTTAATGGAATTTTTTATTATTAGCCAATTTTTTTTTCTTTTATTTTGAATTATCTTTATCTATATTTTTACATTTTTGATGATTCATAATATTATTTTAATTTAATTTTTTTTTGTTTTTATTCAGTAATTGCAGTCTAGTAATTGCAAATAAGACTTGTAATGGTAGGCAGACCAATAGTATTTATTTTCTCTGCATGTTTCAATTGCTTTAACTGATGTTTTAACCACTCATTAATTTGGTGACAAGTTATTCATTATTCAATGACGCTAAAGTCCTTTATTCTCATATTAATAAATCTTGTATTTTAGAAAATTGTTTATAAAGGATTTTAGAAACATTATAAACAGTATCACATGGAACAACAAGTGACTCAAGAAATGTTACATAACAATGTCAGAAAATTTTTAACAATAACAAAAAAATTTTTTATTGTGCATCAGATGAAACCAGGAAAACATATAAAAAGCTTTCAATAAAGTTTGGCTTCTCTTTTTTATAAGTTTACATGGTGTATTTAAGAATTTTTTGTTTTGTAGCTTACATGGTGTATAAAAGAATTTTTTGAAAATTGTTGAATCATTAATTATTGTTACAGTTAAAGTAAGATAATGGTTTATAAAGTTTATAAATTAAATATTTAAAAATGCCTTTCTAACCACAGTAATACAGTTGTTCTTTAATAGACAACAATCTCCTTTATTTCCAGTAATTCCTGGGTTACCTCAAGGGTTACTCATCTGTATTAATGATCTTCCTGATTAACATCTAAATTGGCTCTATTTGCTGATAACACAACTATATAATCTCGAATCTTGATGCTTTTAATTTTTGATTGCTTAGAAAAAGCAGTAAATCTTGAATGTCATCTTTTTCTGTGATAGCTCGGGGTTTGCAGTGGCTAATGAGTTTTAACCCAAGTAAAATTCAGTTATTTTACTGATAATAGTTATTGATATTCCTATATTGATGGAAAGCAATACTCTTATTTGATATCTTCTTGTGCTATCAATACTTGCCTCTCATTAGCGATCACTACTGACCTCTTGAAAACAATCTTTGAAGTATTTTGTCAACTGTTTTCTTTCTTGTTACCTCTTTTTTTTGTTTTCTGTAAACTTCTGAATTAATTAGAGGTTGTTAAAGGCCTTGTTGTAGCCTTTTAAAGAAGTTGATAAAAAAATAAACTGTATGTTCACAATTTTTAAGTATTCATAACATTTTTGAGAATTAAGTAATAACTAATTTTACTAAATTTTTGAATGTTACTAAATTTTTGAAAATTAAATAATACTTTGAGAATTAAGCAATACTTGCAGTAAAAAGATAACTTTGCTGAATGACAAGTGGGATTAAATTTTAGTGGGTTAATATATTATTGCTTGCTTAAGCACCATAAGCACCATAGCACCATAAGCACCATAGTGTTTGTAGAAAAAAAAAAACCTTGCAACAATGGGAGAGAAGCAGAGTGATAAGGCAAATATCTTCTTTTAGCCATAATCATTTTTTTTTTTTATGTAACAGAACATTGTATTCTTTTTTGCTGACAAAATAAATAATAAAAATTTATTTAAATTTAAATAAGTATAAAAAAAATTTAAATTTGCGATGAATATTATTTTGCTTAATAAATATTTAATTAAAGTAGAACCAGTAGTCTATTAGTTTTTATTTTTTATCTTATTGTTATTAAAAAATTTGAGAGTGCTCTTTGAACCTTTTTGGCTTATTACAATTTCAAATATATAAGACTTTCAAGTAATCAATTTTTACATTATTGTTTTTTGTAGCTGTCAAAATAGTTGTCAGTTATATTAAATGAGCAAGATAACACTGTTTAATGAAATGTTGTCTGCCTTGCAAGATGATTGCAATATGACACTGTTTAATGAAATGTTATCTGCCTTGTAAGATGATTGCAAGGTGCAAGGTGGCACTGTTTAATGAAATGTTGTCTACCTTGCAAGTTGATTGCAAGATAACACTGTTTAATGAAATTTTGTCTGCTTTGCAAGATGATTGCAAGATAACATTGTTTAATGAAATGTTGTCTGTCTTGCAAGATGCTATTTCAGGTTATCATTTTTGAATAAATGCTCTTGTTTTATAGTTTTTATGGACAATATTTTTATTTTACTTGATCGGCATAAGCAGAATACTTTTTTTAGTTTTTATCAAACAATTTCTATATTTTACAACATAAAATAAAAACATTAAATTTAGAATAAAAGCTTTATGAGCTGAGTATTTTAAAAGCCTTTAAAATTGTTTATTGTATAAAATTTAGATTGTTTTGAAAATTGTTTTTTAAAATTCTAACTCTAAAAGAACTTTTGTCTCATGAAGATTTTATTGAACAAAAATGTTTTACTGATTGAGGAATATATAGAACTTTATCTTTATCTTCTATATAGAACTTTTGTTGATGACATTAAATGACATTATCTTTTTACTTTTTATTCAAATGAAGTTTAAGTAAAAGTGATTGAATTAAAGTAGTAAAGTTATATTTTTATTTTTATGCTGGGTTCATTAATTCTGATATCTTCTTTGGCATTTATTTTAATTAAACAGCAAAACTGCCTTTTAGCATCATCTATTGTTGACCACTCTACACTATTCTAACCAATAATGATACATTTTCACTACATTGCACATCACTGCATACATATATAGTGGTGTGTAGAGATAATGCAGTGAAATTAATAGTAATATGATAGCTGCAGTGTTTCATACTATTTATAAAACCATGTTGTTGAAATAACCATTGAAATAAATGATTTTAATAATATTTTTATAACTATAGTTGTTGAAATAAATATTAAATTAATAATATTTTTTTAATTTTATAACTTTATAATAGTTAATTAAAAATTCAATTATATTTTTATTAGATTATAAAAAGATTTTAAAATAATTTTTCTACTTTGTTTTTTCCTGAATTAAATTTTTAGTAACATGACATGATTAAATGTGTTTTTTTTTAGTAACATGACATTATTGAGTGTTTCTCTGGCTCTACAAGGCATTTTTTTGTCATTTGCAAATATTCCAATACTCAGTGACATGCATAATTCAGTGAAGTAAACATTTTTTAGTTTATTTTATTTTACCTATATTCTTCGTTTTAACTTATATTTTTAATTTTATAGTATGTATAGTTATATTTTATATACTTATTTTACATTTTGCTATTTTTTTTTGTATTTTTTTTTATCCTTTACTAATTTTTATAGTTATATAATTTTACAATCCTTTACTAATTTTTATAATAATATTATAATTTATGTAAATAATAATATTACATATTATACACTTCAACATCATAACTTTTTTCTCTGTATAAACTATTGTTAATGTAGAAAAAAAAGTTTTATTTTACCTATGTTCCTATACTGATACTCAACCCTCAGAATTAGGAAAAATGAGGTTGGCAATAATTTGTCGATCTTTACCTTTTAGGGGATGGTCTAACCAGTCTTCTCTTTATTATTAGCAATGGTCTTTGACTCTTTGACTAACTAGTTTCTAACATAATATCTTGAGTCAAATAACTTACTCTCAGACAATCAATACAGTTTTTGATCTTTTTGTTCTATGGCTGACTTGCTAACTGCTGTGACTAAAAAGTTCTATTAAGCATTAGATAGAGGCAGTGAGTCTATTGCTTTTGATTAAGTTTGGCATTCTGGTCTTCTCTATAACCTTGCTTCATTTCTTTTTTCATATTTCAATGTTGTTTGACTCCTCAAAGCCAAAAGGGCTGCTATAGTAAAGGAGGCTACTTAGTTGTTGTAACAACCCTCTTTTAGCTTTTTAACTCCAAAACACAAACATTAAGTAACAAAGCTGCTGAGCAGAGAAAAAATTTGAGTGCGGTATTACCAGGAACACTTGGTTGGAGTTGAACTCAGAAGTTCTCGCTTATGAAGTGAATGCTCTACTACTGCAATACTACCTGATAACATCTAAAATGGCTTTATTTTCTAGCGACTCTGCTTTATTCAGCTGCTGCGACAAAAAGGCTTCTCTTTTTGATCACTTAGAACAATCAGCCAATCTAGAATCTGATTTAACTCCTTTAACAGAGTGGCTCTTGTAGTGGCTTGTGGATTTCAACTTTACTGCAAACAACTATAAATGAAATACTGTGAACATTCCTATATTAATGAGTGGCAACCCACTCTCATATATACAGTTGACTTCAAAATTTATATTGGTTAAGGTTGGTAGTCTTTATTGTGCTCACTATTATCTTACTTCTGATTCCATTCTCCACCAATACAAATCTCTTATTTGCCCAATTTTTTTCATCTTTGTTTTCATATTTGAGCTGGTTCTTCTAATAATGCTCTTTTTTTTTTAAACACGGTCCAAAAGCACATTGTAAATGTCGTTGCACCTGCTCTATTTTCCATGCTTGAGCTGTGAAAATCTCTCTTGTCATAAGATTGCATCTTTTTCTATTTTTTACAAATACCATCATGGTTGCTGGTCAAACAAGTTATCATCTCTTGCTCCTTGTATTCTTTTACTTTATCTATCCCTGTATGCTCTAAAAACTTTTATTTACCTAGTTTTTTTCCCCACACCTCAACCCTTTTGAACTTTTTCAAGAACATGATGTTGATGACAAATAAATTGTGGTTTTCTCTGTTTCTTTTCAGTAAAACATCTTTGCAACTTACTGACAATTCCATTTCTTCTATCTGCAGAGCCACTTACTGTCTTTTTTTGTCAAAAACTTTATTCGAAGATTGTATTTTTTTTGTTTTACACATTTATCATACATTTTCACCATTTGATCAATTTTTGTCTGTATGACTTGAATTTATAAATATAGAAAATATTATTCCTTTTGCCATAAATTTGTAACTTTTTTTATAACTTGCTTTATGTATTCTTGTCTACCTTTGATGGATCCTCCCAGAAACAGATAGTGTCTAACAGTTGCTACCATAAACTCAAATTTGTACTTTAAAATACCATAACGCATAAATTCAAGACTTTTTGAAATTTTTTGTTAATTTTGTTAATAATTTTTACTAACATAAACTTTATTATTTCTATATTTTGCTTATTTAAGACATCTTGTCATCTTGGAAGAAAGTTGTAACACTCTTTTTTTACTTCAAACTGCAAACAATAAAAGTTGTGTTTAATTTTACAGTTGGTTAAATCCTAGATGCTTAGGCTAAGTCTTTTTAAGTATATATTAAAGTGTAAATTTGTTTTAGAATTATAAAAAATTGAAAAGACCTAACAAATATAGAGCAAAGCAATCTGACAAAATTAAAGCAAAGAAAACATGCAAATGCTGATCAGCAAGATTAAAGGAAGATAATAAATTTATGTCAACTCAGCATGAAACTATACATAGGGTAAAAAGCAAGTAATGTTAACATAGTATTAACCATAAAGTAAGAAAATTTGATGCTTTGTCTGCATCCTGCATGATGTATCTTCTAAAAATAAAACAGACACTTACATTAAAGTCAAATTTTGTGAGCAACAACGACTCTAAAACCAAAAAAGAAACAAATGACTCTAAAACCAAAAAAAGCAAAGTTTTTTAATGTCTTTCATCTTATACTGTTTTGAATCTTTCATCAAACAGTATATATCTGCGAATAGTCTCATTTCAGATAAAACACTAAAAGATTTCTTGAGTATTTGTGGTAGAGATGCCCAAGAAACTTTTTTTAATCCAAAAACAATGAATAGAATAGCTTATGCTTTAGAAAAACCAGATCATTGAAACTATAATAGTGAATAATAATAATAAGAAGAATAATGAATTGGATGGTTTTGTATCATATACGAATATTTTAATTTCACTAGACTTTACACAAAGTTTCTAAACAAAGATGCCAAGCTTTAGGTAAAAGGTAAAAAATACAAGTTTATTGAATTAATGGTAAGTTGGATGAAATTTTTAAATAATATAACAGAATTAGGTGTAGCAATGATGGAAAAATGTAATAAAACATTTTCGCAATTTTTGTTGTTAATTATGTTATGATTAAAAATGATAATTTTTATAACAACTTTATTTAAAGTTAGAGTTTTCTTTAAAACATTCAATCTTTTATATGGACCTAATTGAAATATTTAATGTGTTATCAACAGTAAAATAATTTTAAATAAATTGTTCATAAACAAATTATTTTGTATTGACTCTTAGATGTAATTTTAACTTTATATATATATATATATATATATATATATATATATATATATATATATATATATATATATATATATATATATATATATATATATATATATATGTATATATATATATATACATATATATATATATATATATATATATATATATATATATATATATATATATATATATATATATATATATATATATATATATGTATATATATATATATATATATATATATATATATATATATATATATATATATATATATATATATATATATATATATATATATATATATATATATATATATATATATATATATATATATATATATATATATATATATATGCCCTGGTGAAATTCAAAAAAATAACATCAACAGGTTTACCATTCTCAAGGCGGTTGAAACAAAATCAAGTGTTTCAAATAGATTCGTTAAGCATGATTTATTTTGACTATTAAGTTCAAACTTGACTATTAGTTTGAACTTATATAGAAAAGTTTCAAGTCCTTTAACTATAAAAATGTGTTTTTTATTAAATTTATTTTATTCTAAAATTGTGTAGTGATGGTACTTGTTTTTTTTTTTTTTTTTATATACATCATACTGAAATAGCCTGCTGCTAGGGGCTTCAGTACATACATGGACTGACAAATAGCCTGACTTGTAGTGGAGTGCTGCTACATCGACTGAGGGTTTGGGATGGGGAAGCAATCTTTTATTCATTATTCTTTGTTTTTTCTTCTTCTTTTTCAAAAAAAACGGTATAGCTTAAAATAAGCAGAAAAAGTGAGCAAATGCTTATCAAAACACGCTTTAGTAAGTGTATATATATGCACTTTTATATTTAGAAATGCTGGAATGAATGTTTCTTCAGAAACAAGCGCTTTACTTTCTGGACTTTTTGTGGCTTTTATATCTCTTGGGTAATTCTTTTATTTTATAAGTTTCAGTAGTTTTAGTTGAAAAGGTAACGGTTTTTTTCTTATCTTTTCTTTGCTATTTCTTCTTTAATATTTTTTGTTTACTTTTTTTTTTTTTTTTATTTTTAACTACATATTTTACCTTATTAAGTTACATTTACTCCTTTTACCAAAATATTCTTAATAATTTTTTAAAACATTTTTTCTTCATTTTATATTATATATATTTAATTAGGTTCTGATTGAAAGAAAGTTAAAGTTAGTTTTGGTGTCTGCATGTCTATGTGCCTCAGTGTCTGTATATGTTGCCACACTTACTTTCTCTAATTTTAGAAGTTATTATTTTTGTTATTTTGAATTTAATTGAGCTTTATGTCTTCATTTAGTATGTTTTCAATGTTGTGTTTACATGTTAAAACATGTCCAAAAGGGACATGGATGTCACTAATAAAAAATGATTAATATGAAAAGTATTGCAAATGAGAATCTACTTTTTTTAGAATTTTAGTTTTGTGTTTACTTTTTTACTTGTTAAAATTGGTACAATAAATATTGTAAGAAATAATAATACTTATTAGTACATAATAAATTATTATATACAAATACATAATAATAAATATTGTCATAAAACAATGGTTGTGAAAATAAAGTTTAATAAATTTTTGTTCAGTTTCTCATTTTTATTTGCTATTGATCTTAATTTATTATAAATACCTTGCTAATTCTCAATAATCTTTATTATCTCAACAGATAATTTTTTATTTATTTATAAATTCATATTAAACTTTATTTTAAATATTTTTTTATACTGAATACAAACAGAAATATATATTTTTTCTCCATAATTAAGTTAAAAGTATGATCAAAAATTAATACTGATAGATACAAACTACTAATAAATTACTTGTGAAGTTATTTTTAAAAATTTTTTGAAATAAATTAAACCTTTTTTAGAAATACAGTTGGACCTATTTTTGGAACGAACTTAACTGAGAAATATGGTTTCTCCTGGGCAACATCAGTAAGTTTAAACATCTTATAATAATATATTTAGTATTATGTTACTAGTACTAATAAAAAATAATATTAAGTTAACAGACAAAATATTATTAAAAAACAAATAACAGATAACAGTTAAAGCAATATCCAGAATATATTCTTTTTTTACAATAAACGTATATATATATATATATATATATATATATATATATATATATATATATATATATATATATATATATATATATATATATATATATATATATATATATATATATATATATATATATATATATATATATATATATAATCACTTCTATATTCTGTTCTTTGCTTTAAATTTGAAAAAAATTATACTATATCAAAATCAAAAATGTTGTTTTAGATTTTTTTTTTTTTCCAAAAATGTTAAAATATTTATGCGTATAAATTTTCTTAAAAAATGTATCTTTTGCTTTGATTCATTTCTCAATATTTAAAAACCTTTTTTATATTTATACTAATTTACAAATATGTTCTTTTGTTTTCTAAATTAAAATTGCATTAAGTTTAAAAATAAAAAATTGTACCTTGTTCATATCTAAAGTTAAACTATATTATGTAAGCTGTAAAAAAAAGATGAAAACTTGTTTGAGACCCATAGTTACATTTGATGAAGTAGAAATGGTTGCTTATCTATAAAATAAATTTTTAGAAGCTCTAAACATATAATTAACTTTTTTTATGAGGAATGTCTGTAACAGTATACTTATTAGAATCAAGAGATGACTTGTAGATAGTTTTATAATATTCTTCATTAGGAGATTTAATATGGTCATAATACTAACAGTCTTTTTGCCTCAATTAGTTTGCCTTGGTTAGTATTAGTGACTTGGGGCTAGAAAGTATTGAATGATCTGTAAAAATTTGTATAAATGTGTCATCAACCACTAAATATATTGATTGATCTGTAAAAGAAAAAAGGATAAAAGTAAGATTGTTGATGTTGATTGTAAGATGTTGGTAATGTTAAGAGGAAATCTATTATGGAAGGAAAGAGGAGTTGTATTATGATAGGAGGAGAAGTAATATTATGGTTGAGAGAGAAGTTGTATTATCATAGAAGGAGGAGTTAGTTTATAATATTCCTAGCATCAGAATAAAAATATCTTGATCTACAAAACAGGTTAATGCCAAGAAGTGCATTCGGCTATTTCAAATGTCTATTTCATAATTTTTGTATTTAAGCTACAAAATGGGATTACGGAAACCTCCCTAAACCACACACATGTTGAATGGTGGGCATTAAAATTTTTAAAAAAATTAAAAAAAATTAAATATAAAGTTTTACCAATACAAATTGTTTCGCTAATTAAATTTCCAACAAAATAAATTATTTAGAAAAATTGTAGATATTTTTAGCTTTTTTAAAGTTGTTTTTGACATCAGATTGAAGACTGGTTATTTAAGACTTTACTAATTAACATCTGTTATTTATGATATTGCAGTAAAGGTATTTTACTTATCACATTAAACATCTGTTACAAATAGCATCACATTGACATCTGTTGTTTATTATGTCACATTAAACAAATTACTTACTTTTTGTTATTTAAGAAATGACATTAATGGTTTTAAGTTTTGTTTAGAGTGTCAATAAAATTTTTTTTAAATTTTTTTAGGTCATGTCTTTCATTATATTTGGTGTGGTAAGTTATTACAAGTTTAATTGTCGTTTCTGTTATTATTTTAATTTATTTTTTAAATTACTTATTTCAGATTATACTTTAATGTCTTTCCATTTTTGTTCATTGATTTTAATTATTTTATGCAGTTTTTAAATTATTATTTTATTTAGATGATAATCTTGATGTTGGGTACGCTAATTGAGAACAGAATAAATAAAAGGTTCAGTTATTTAATTGTGAGATTATGTAATATGATTATGAGATTATGTAATATTATAATGAGATTATAAGATTATGCCATTTAATTTAGCTATTAGTGCAAAACTTTTACAAATTAAAGCTATTTAAAAACTTTGTTTCCAAATCTATAAAACTTTATTTTGAGATAAGCTTCAAATAAAATATTCAAAAGTTTTAAATTGGTCACTGGTAATGTCCTAACCCCATAATAGTAATTATGCTGATAAAACAAGACTATGAACTTGCAAGTGTGAGTTGAAGTTGACAAAATATTTTTATTGAAATAAAAAGTTCATAGTTTTTTAATATGGTTTATCAAAGCTTATCTACTGCTCTTGCTAAATTCATTAGTTCAACTTTAAATTACCATAAATTGTAGACCATTTTCAGAGACATTTTTTAGTCATGACCTTATAATAGTGTAATCTTTGCATGTTATTTAAGCAATGAATTTATTGTGTGTGTGAATAAATTTATTATTGTGTGATCATTCAATAAAACATGCTTTTGTTTAATAAAATGTGTTAAAAAGTAAAAAAACAAACTAGTTACTTTACTTCTGTTGAGTCTTATCTCTTGCAAAGTTCACCAGACCTATATGCTCTTTGTGAGACTAATTTGAATTCAGCAAACAGCTGAATTCAAATTAGTCTAAAATTAAAATCGCAAGATGAAACACATCTTGCGATTTTAGTGTTGATGGTTATCTTCCTTTAATTCATGAAAATCCCAATAGTCACATGCTTGGCTTAGGCATTAACATTCGTAAGAACACCCGTTTATTATGTTTGAATCCGCAAACTTTACTTTTATGTGCTTTCCTTTAGCACTACTTGACTCTATCACCTTTCTTTTATATTTCTATATTGCTATCCTTCATCTTAAGACTCTTATGAGTCACTGACCTTAAAACCTAAATGTTCTAATGTCAGTGATTCTGCACGTGCAAAAGCTCACAACCTTTGCCTTTCTCAATCTCTAATACAAATAGTCAACTTTCTATTTTCGTTTTTCAAAACTGAGTGACTTTTTATATTTGACTTATTCCTTGTTTCTGATCCTAGACATTGCTCAGTTTCTTCACTTTCACACATTAAGTGCTTCAGATCACAGATCAGATCACTAAATCTATTATCTAATTCTTCTTCATCATCAGAATACCTCTCTACATTTTGAAACAATCTTAAAGCTTACTGGGACTTTTCCATGATTTTCTTTGTAATAGCCCTTGTGTAGAAATCTTTCATCTTCCTAATGACAAATGTGATTCTTGTGCACCTTTTTAGGTTCAGGCTGGCATGGAATCATTTATTCCCTCTTGATGATTCCAAGTCAAGTCTCACTCTTCTCCGTGGTTTTTTTCTCATTTTGTTGTTGCAATTTGCAATCGTAAATTGTAAAAAAAATTTGATTGTAACCATTCCATATTTAACACCAAAACAATTCTCCAGAAAACTGACATCTGTTTACTATTGCTAGTAACCATTGTAAAAAGGTTTTGTCTAATGCCAAAGACCGTCATTCTCAGGTTGTTTTTGTACCTTTTTCAATCTATTTTTTGTGTTTTTTTTTATATAGTTAGGGGCGCCTTAGTTACTATGTTAGCTCTCCTGTAATATACTTTATATGTATGTATGTTTTCTGTCTAAACCTCTAACTCGGCGTTGACTCACTTGTAAGTTGCTATCTGTATGTTTGTGTTTACTCTGAACCTCTGGTGCAGTTTTTACTCACCCATAAATTATATTGTGCGCATTTGTTTTCTGTCTAAACGTCTTGCGCAATGTTCATTCACTCGCAAATTAATTTATGTTTGTTTGTGTCTGAACCTCTGGTGCGATGTTTACTCACCCGTAAGTTACTTTATTTATGTTTGTGTTCTATTTAAATCTCTGATGCAGTGTGAGCTCAGTAACTATCTAGTGACTCTGACTATAAATTCTATGCTCACCTTAATCTATAGTATTTTGTTAGATGTTATGTTTTTCCTAATTCATTTCCAAATATCATGTCTATTGTTTTAATGTACTGTATAAAGGAAGTATCTCCTTTTAACTACTCCAGATTAGGCCAAGTTCATTATCATTACAATCTCTCTGCTACTAGTATCATGTTCCCCAATTCTACCTGCCCCATGCCCTGCTGCCTTGTGTCGTGTGCTATTTTAAGCAAAGGCTAAGAGAAACAAACTCAAACTTAAAAATACGATGCCTTGGGCCTCTTGGTTGAGTACAGGTAAGAAATGGTATCTCAATAAAAATACTCATCTTGGGCAGATGTTAACGGCATCCAGCTACTGTCTTTTAGCTGGATGTAGCAGCTATTGTCTTTTAAGTCTCGAACCCCTTCTTCATCTATTTGGCTTTCATAAATGTAAACCTTTGTTACATGGATGATGAATGCTGGATCTTCTTGACTCTATGCATATATTTTTGCTTGTGTTTTTTGCAGGTAACCATATCCTCATTAACAGGTAACAGGAAGAGTTACATAGCAAATCTTCCTGTTACATTTTAATGAGGATACAACTCTAAAACTTAGTTTTAGAGCTGTACCCTCATTAACAGGTTTAACATTTAATAAATAACAGGTAAATGTTTAACATTTTTAAATGTTAAACATTTTTAAATGTTTAACATTTTTAAATGTTTAACATTTTTAAATGTTTAACATTTTTAAATGTTTAACATTTTTAAATGTTTAACATTTTTAAATGTTTAACATTTTTAAATGTTTAACATTTTTAAATGTTTAACATTTTTAAATGTTTAACATTTTTAAATGTTTAACATTTTTAAATGTTTAACATTTTTAAATGTTTAACATTTTTAAATGTTTAACATTTCTAAATGTTTAACATTTTTAAATGTTTAACATTTTTAAATGTTTAACATTTTTAAATGTTTAACATTTTTAAATGTTTAACATTTTTAAATGTTAAACATTTACCAGTTAATATAAATTCTGTTTATCTTAACAGGTAAATGTTAAACATTTACATGTTAAGATAAACACTGTGGTAGCTCTTAGAGAGGCTGATTTCATCAAGAGCTGTAAAATACTGGAGTACTAACATTGCCATGTTGTGCATGGATGATTTTGGTGCGCATTGTCAAGGCCACACATGGAGCCCTAAGTTAAAACATTGGGTTAATTAACAGGACTGATACAGCTGCATAGCTCATTGTTTAGAAGCCCATTCTCTATCTATGAATGGATCAAGTTCTTTATAAACTTAAATCGTGGCAAAAGTAACCCTTAATATTAAACATAAAAAACCATCCCCACCACCTGATCACCTGATTTGGGTCTGCGAAGCAACCTTCTATTAGTTAAATGTTACCTATTTCAAAAAATAATAGACTTTTTTTTCTTAGTGAAACTGTCAATCTTGTTATTATTAATGTAATAATCTGTCAATGTTGCTGTTATCTGTCAATGTTGCCTCTCTGTCAATGTTACCGTTATTAGTAACTTTAATGTTTATCACACTGAATGGCTTAACTCTAAAGAGTTATAGGCTTCACTGACACTTCACTGAAGCCTATAACTTTTGCATTTCTTAATCTTTTACTCAGATAGATATTTATGTAATTGGTTTTCCTAACAACCCTAATTATTTACCTTCACTCCTTGATTTATGTCTTTTCTCTGGCCCTAGCTTGTGTTCAGTTTCTCCTTTTTCAACCCTTGAATGTTTTTGACCATGCAATGATCTCTATAAATTTTTCATCTTGTATTTTTTTTCGGACTTACTTTATCATAACACTACTTACTTCTACCCAAAAGCTTACTGGGTAATACCGTAACACTAACCCTTACGGGCTAGGCCCAAAATTATTTAAAAACTTTGACATATAAAATTTGCCGAATGGTTACGCACGAGCAGTGAACGCCTGAGGGAAGAAATAAAGTACATTAGAACAATCTTTTTTTTTTTTTGTTTTTTTGTGACTGTCCTTGGGCCTATGTCTTTTCTCTATCAGCTAATAAATGGACCTACGTAACCTTCTAGATTTAGGAAAGAATGGAAGCTTTTTTTTTTCCATCAGTTTTAAGTCAAGCCTCATTCTACTCGATGGTTTTCACATTCTTGCGCCGCTGTAATATCTAATCATACGTCTTTTTTTATCATCTCTTTTAATTATTCTCTGTCCATTAAAAATCTTATTTTAAAAATTAGGCTCTAGAGACTTTTGAAAAATTTTTAACAGCTTCATTAAGAAGTCTACGATTCCATCGCTCTTTCATGAAACTGATCTTATTGCCCCTACCAAGAAAAAGGCTGAACTATTTGCAAAGAACTTTTTTTCTAATTCAAATTAAATTTTATGTCCATTCTCTTCCTTCCATTCCAATTAAACAGGTTAACCCATTGTTAGACATTCAAATCACTCCAGCTTCCATTGATAAATTCATATCTCAATTAAATTCTTCTATTGCTTGTGATCCAGACCTTGTTCCTGTCATAGTCTTACAAAATTGTTCTCCAGAACTCTCTTTATACCTCTTTTAAATTATTTAATAAGTGCTTAATTGAGTCTTGTTTTCCGGCCTGCTGGAAAATGGCACCTATTGCTTTAATTTTTTTAAAACTCCAGTGAACATTCTTACCTCTCTAATTATTGTCTGAGAAGTTTTCTTTCATTAGCAAGGTCTTTTAGTCTTTGATCAACAAATTTTTCACATCTTGATTCAAATCTGTCAGACAATAGGGTTTTCGTTCCTCTCAATTATGATGATCCAATTGGGTCATCGTAATAGTACTGTAGAGTTTGGCCAAAAAATAGTGAAACCTAGAAAAAAAAATTATGGAGATATATTATACATCATTAGAAAGATAATTGTATCAGCTTTCTAATGGTGTATCTTTTCACTTTTTTAGACTTGAGCAAAAAAATGGTGGATCAAAATGTGAATGTAGGTTTTGATTTTGTGAAAAAAATTAAATAAATATGAAACAGTGTTCTTAGATATCATAGTTTCATTATTAAAAAAAGGTTCAACTGAACAAAAGAAATTAAATAATTCTGAAAGCTTAAGTATTCATTTTATTATAAAAATTTCTCTTTGAAATCATAGCTACTAGAAAATCAATTTAAAAAGTACTTATATTTATCAATGTATTTAAAACAGCTATGAATTAAATATTGAATTGGATATAAAAACTATTTTGTATAGTTGACTGTCTTTTTATTTAAAGAAAAAATAATAATGGATGCTGAAATTCAAGTTGAGATATCAAATGAAATAACATTATGTGTTAAATGCAGAGAAGGTGCAAGAATACATGATCCTTTGAATCATGTAGGTTCGAAGTATTCTGATTATAGCAAGAAAAAACATCCCCTGACTATTATAGAGCATACTGTGAAGCTTAATTTAGATACTTTAGTTGATAAGCTCAAACTGAACTAAAGAACAAAAACAAACACTTATATCCATTTATCCTGTAGGAATTTTTTTAAATTGCTCTCGAAAATGATCAATGAAAATTGAGACAGAGCGTATTACTAGAGCCAAAATTTAAATTATTTGATTTCAAAACACGGTGTTTTTATTGTGGCGACTGTATCTATGGCAGAAAAAATCTAAATTGCAACAAATTTGAAGAAGTACATACATAAAAATTAGCCTTACATTCTTTCACCATCAAAATATGCCGCAATAGAGAACACAAACTTGCTAAAACTATAGAAGCATGTTTAATCAGTATGAATGACCTAGTAGCAGGAGAAGGCAGATATCACATATCATTAGAGCCAGCTTTGAGAACCCTTTACCAAAATATTCAACATCTGGATATCATACTTGCAGTAACAAAATGACATCTTTTAATACTATGTTTGAATTTTTAGAATGACACAGAGTTGTACACATTGCCAAAATTTCATTTAAAAATGATGTCAATCAATGATGACGTTTATTCAATAAAAATGACCAAAATCAAATTAAAGGAAATGTATGTTGAGTCTTTATGCTTTGCCAAAAGAGAAAGCAGAAGCAATATAATTCTATTGGACAGTGTTAGAGACATTTTATTTGAAACATGGTACCAAGAAAAGAGCACAAATGTAAACGAGGAGAGAGAGCGTGTTGTTTTAACATGACCACAATTCCAACGCATATCCTTCCAAAGAGGACATACTTTAAAGGAAACCATGTACCTCAATTATTAAAAGCATTTATTAATGAACTTGTTTAAGCACCTTTAAAACAGGTTTCAATATCACAAGCTTTATTATCTGGAACACATCCCAAGTCTAATATTCCATTGCAGTTTGGACTAAGCGTTGTTGTTTATAACCGTCTTTCATCAAAATGGCTGAATATACTGCTATCGAAGTTAGGAGTTGGTGTTAGTTATGATGAGGGAAAGTTTCATTTCATTAAAGTGCTAATATGTATATTATTTATTTATATACATTATTTTTATCAGAATCCGAACAATATCGATGTTTAAACATTATTGATGTAATTTTTTTAAGGATATCTGTTACAAACAAAATGTTGTAAAGCATCTTCGATGTTGCATCTTCTATCTTAGGAGATAGTTTCCGAAGAGGGAACCTCCTTTCTTCAATTTGTAGCTGACAACACAGACTATGATATTGCTACTGTCGATGGAAAAAATATGCACCATAGACTTGGGTCAATTGCAATTAAAAATGGAAAATTCACAGACATTTTGTTCAAAAGAAATAAAATTCCAAGAGATGAAAAGGAACTATGGTCAAATATCAGTTCAAACGATAGGATAACAGTTAGGTGGTACTACATACCTGACATACCTTCATTAACAAAAACAATATTCAAATCAGTCATTCAGGTTTGTTAAGCATTGTACAATTTAAAAAAATTGTTACCTCTACAAAGTTTGAAAACTAATTGTTTTATTTAATTTTAGGAAAAAATTCAAGCTCGTTTTATTGATCTTCTATGGTACAATATGGTCAAAATACATGTCCAAGTTGGTCTGGCTACATGAGTTCTACAACAAATATTGTAAAACAGAAATCTAAAATTGCTATACTACCTGATTGATTTAACACGACTAATTTGACAGCCCAATATTCACTACTTTGCTTCATCATTACTCCAAAAAAGTGAATGTTACAATGCCATCCATAACATTTAATCAGCCGCTCTACATAAAAGCATACAAAATAATCTCTACAAAAAACTTAGACTTATTTGTTTGTTGAAGAGGTTTCCATCAACTTATGAGTTTTCTAGGTTCAACTAGATGAATGATGGAAGGAAGTGGTTTGAGAGGTGCTCTCGAAACAGTCTATGCCTTGTTAACAGCAGAACACATACATTTTAGGATAAGCATTTTCACGCGCTATATGAGGCCATCTTTTATGTGCATCAACAATAAAGTCACTGATATTAAAGATTTTTTTAAGGATGATTTGAACAATAATGAGCAAAAAAATATTTTAGAAATTCAGAAGACCCTTGTAGTCAAGAATTATTAAGATCAATATGTGATCATGACATTATGTACAATACATAACCGTGTTCCAAGAGTTCATTAAAGCAGAGAGAACAAGTAACTGGTCATTACATATTTTTACAACAAATTACATGCTCAATCATTTTGCTGCAACAAGGCACAATAACTATGCAAAATCATGCAGGCTTTACCTTTAGACCATTGATGTCTTACAAACAGAGTACCCTCTAATTTATGGACAACACATGGCAGGTAATCACACTGTTAGAATAACAAAAAGAAAATGGTCAAGGATATGGACTGATCTAGCAATTGAACAGACTCTGATGCATCGATGCGCAGAAGTAAGTGATGCGATGAGCACTCTAACATCTCCGCATAAATCTGTTGACAATCATTAAGAAATCTATCCTGAATAAAACGTGATAGTGATGACTGAATGGGTTATGAGCAAAAAAAAAATCATGATTTTATGCTCATAACCCATTCATAGTGGGAGATCAACTTGTTAGTTTGGACTCAGGTTTGGTTGATAATTAGAAAAATATTACCTGTAATCGATCAGAAAAGATAGGAGTATCAAAACACAAAGTGTTAAATAGTAAAACCTACACAAATTACTCTTTCAAACAAAAAAATTAAAAACAACACTCCAGACCTTATACTCCTGCGTATCTATTGAAGACGAAAATGTTACAATCGACCCATTAACACTTTTTCTAAGAATGGTTGTTGTTGTTGAAAGAAAGCCGGAGAATGAAGTGGAGAGTTACTTTCAATATGATTTATCACCATATCTAACTTGACACGATCAATTTTAATGGTTATCAGTTGTCCATTAAAGATAGTATCCACCAAAAGCGATCTGGTGAGGTATCCCAAACAGTTGAAATCAATGATCTCAATCCATGCTCAGCAGAAAGAAGTATTTTTTTAAGTAACTACAAAAACAAAAATGATTTTTTCAGGCTTTTAGCATTGAAGTTACTAAACAATGATTTTTAAGTTATTTGTTGTCCGTGTATTCACAAGTATTGTTAAGCTAGCGCTTGAGAGTGACAATGTTGTGTCAGTCACAATTTATTTGGATGACACTGATATTTTATGTCTATTGACGCATCATGTACATCCTCACACAAGTGGAGCACAACCTCAAGGCATCTTTTTAAAAACGTTTACACGAAATAAGGCTACAGATCAAAGAGTATGTTATAAAATTCAAAATATTGTAAAGACAAGTGATGATAATTTTTTAAATTTTGTATTATTCGCACACGCATTCACTAGGTATGACACATCAGTAATCCATAGCTTTGGCAAAATCACAATTTTTACAAAATTGAAAAATTCAAATGAATTAAAATCTACTGTAAAATTATTCTATAAGGAAAATATTTCTATTGATGATATTGGCAAGGGAGCTATTCGTTTTTTAAACTGTTTCATTCACCTTGTTTCAATCTACAGCAGATCAGTTAACATAGATATGATGAAATGGTGGCATCTGATCGTGCAAGTATTGATCCTGCTCTATTACCACCATAACCAAGAGCTGCCTATTATCATGGACTCAGAGTTTATCACCAAATGATAGTATGAAGAAATGTAGAAATAAGTGCACTTTTCGAAAAGCTGAATTAAGTTGTACATCATCTTGTAAAGAGTGCCATTATGTAACATGCACTAACAGTAATAATAATATTCCAGAAGAAGACATTGAATAGGAAGAAAGGCATTTTGTTAATGGCTTTCAGATATGAAAGACTATTTTTATATAAAAAATATATTCATATATAATTTAAAAAATATATACGGTGTAAGATTAGTTTGTATTTTCTTATAAATTTTGGGTTATTTAAACGAGGATCGTTGTAAATGGGAGGACGGCGGGAAACATTTTTTCTAAATTTTAAAAATTAGGTATAAAATGTATTATAAATAATAAATATATATAAAAGAAATATTTTCCTCCTTCCCCAGGTAAATACCGTAATCGCAATACGTGTTTTTTAAAAAATTGCTCAAATTAACAGAAATCTTTTATTTACTTTTTCATCTGCCATTTTTTTTGCTCAACTCCAAAAAAAGTGACAAGATACACCAATAAAAAGCTGATAAAATTATCTTTCCAATGATATATTATATGTCTCTGTATATTTATTGCGTCGGTATTATTCTTTTTATTGACATCATTTCTAAACACATGACATTTGCATCAGAAAAAATATTTTGCGATGGTTTTGCATAGATTGGCCCAAAAAGTCTGTGCTAGTTGGGTATATATATAAATGTTTATAAATTTATTCTTTGTACTAACATAGTATTTTTATATTGAATTATTTGTTCAAAATATTCTTATTAATTCAAATATAGTCATAGATATATAGATAATAATTATATTTTGTTTTAAACTTAATTTGTACAAAATTTGAAAATAACATTATATTTAAAATTTATATATATATGCGTATATATTTATATATATATATATATATATATATATATATATATATATATATATATATATATATATATATATATATATATATATATATATATATATATATATATATAATATATATATATATATATATATATATATATATATATATATATATATATATATATATATATATATATATATATATATATATATATATATATATATATATATATATATATATATATATATATAACGGGTCACAACTAAAATTTTGCACAAACTTTGGGATAATGTCAATAAAGATCTGCTTTCTGTATATTTTTAAAATTTTAACAGAATATACTCAAAAGCATTCTCTATTCAAATATATTTTTAAATAGTTCGTATGATTTGTAGTTCAAAAAATATCACGCTATAATGTATGAAGATCTAAAATCCATTTTGTATAAATACTATCAAAAAAACCATGGACTGGGGCGAAAACATATTTTTGATAAATTTATCAGCATGGGAGCTCCAAAAAGGACTTTAAATCATTGGCTTAGCATGCTGGAACAAAATAAAGTACTAACTAGGAAAAAAGGAAGCGGTCCTCCGACCACTATAGCGACTGCAAACAACATAGGTAAGATGAAAAATTTCTTCAATCATCGGAAGGGCTGCTCACAGAAAAGAGTAACTAGCAAGCTAAAAACGACTCAGCAATACGTTTCAAAGATGCTATTGCAAAGAACAAATATCAGATGTCTAAAACGCACCGTCAAACCAAAGATGACAGCCTTACAAGTCAAGTTAGCAAGGCCAAAGTGTGGACGACTTTTCCTCAAATTTTGTGATGTCGATTTTATTTTGGATGATGAATCGTACTTCACTCTTTCCAACACAACTTTGGCTGGGAATGACCGATTTTACTCAGATGATATTCAAAAGACTCCTACTGATGTGAAGAACAAAATGAAGGCAAAATACGAGTCAAAACTACTTGTTTGGGTGGCAGTTTCACCTCGAGGAATAAGTAGTGTCAAATTGTTCAATCTGGCCTGGCAATCAATCAATATATTTACCGTGACGAGTGTATACGAAAGAGGTTGATTCCTTTTATTAACAAATACTATAGGGATGGTAAATACGTATTCTTGCCCGATTTAGCTAGCTCCCACTATGCAAACTCAGTCCACGCCGACCTCAGAGACAAAAAAGTCAATTTTGTACAAAAACAAGACAACCCAGCAAACGTCCCGAAAGTCAGGCCAATTGAGGATTTTTGGGGATTTTTGAAGCAGAAAGTGTATGAGAAGGACTGGCAGGCTAAAACTATCACTCAACTCAAAGCTAGAGTCAGTCTTTGCCTTCGTAATTTGGACAAAGACCTTATACACCGCACCTTCAGCTCGGTACACAAAAGACTCGATTTTGTCAGAAGGAATGGAATCGAAAAACTTTAAAAGACATTTTTTCTAACACTTAAAATTGTTGTTTATAAAATGCAAAAAACCGTTTAAAAAAAAATTGTAAAATGACTGAGATATCTTGTTTTAAAAGTTGGGCAAAATTTTAGTTGTGACCCGCTATATATATATATATATATATATATATATATATATATAGCGCTATATATATATATAGCGCTATATATATATATATATATATATATATATATATATATATATATATATATATATATATATATATATATATATAGCGCTATATATATATATATATATATATATATATATATATATATATATATATATATATATATATATATATATAATATATATATATATATATATATATATATATATCACAGTTGTCCAAAGTAGGAAATAATTACTTCGGCTTGACCCGAGAATGCCACCTGTCCTGGGTGAATCTACATGGTCCACAGATTCAAAATATATAAATATTGAAATCTAGTTACAACGTCCGAGCGAAAAAAATCACTTTGAATATTTGACCCTTTTTGCACATGCTCATGAGATGACAGCATTCACAAAATTGTGCATTTTTACAGCATACAAAATTAGTTGAACAGAAAACAACGCGTACTGATGATAGATATTTACTTTTTCAAACTATATTTTGTAAATTATAAGTTTATAAAAATATATTAATATAGATCCAGCAATATTTACTCTTTTTGTTATTTTTAGGATCATCTTGTTATAATGATTGTGCCTACCATCTTAATGATCATTAAAACTGAAAAACCCTATTTTGACATCCACAAACGTTTTTTTTTTTTGTTTTATTTTACTAAAAAAACGGAAAAAATCATTCTAGGACTTCAAAAGTTGAAAAAATCATTCTTTGACTTTATAAGTAGAAAAAAACGTATTATTGCCTCAAAAGATCAAAAGTAAGATTTATTTGAGTTGTTTTTCCTTGCATTCCGAATTGAAAAAAATTTGCACAAATTTTGAACATATGAACAATAAACTGAATAATATATCACTTCAAGATAATCATTTAATGATCTGAAATCAATAATACTTAAAGTAAATACCAAAAATAGTCATTAGAAATCTGTGTAATTATTATTTGATGTTGTTTTAAAGCTTTTCCCACATTCTCTGCACTTTTATGTAAAACAAATTTTATTTTATTGTGTATTTGCTACTTTTTAGTAAACAATAATCCTATTTGAAATGATATTTTTCTGATATTTCAGTGAACGTTAACTATGCCTAACCAAGCTAAAGTTCATGATGCAAATCGAAAAACTGTTTGCTTGCTGTGCTTTCAAAAAACAACACATCAAGTTACAATCTTTCAAGAAGAAAGAATTCGTCAGAATTACCAACATCAGATAAACTACCGAGGCCCACGTGTTCCCCAAGGATTGTGTGAAGCTTGCCGTTTTATCTTGAGACGAAAAGATGAAGGAAAAGATGTCAGTCTTCCTGACCGGTTTGATTTCTTGACAATCTACATGAGACCAGAACAGCTGGTCAAGAATGCTCATGTTTAATTTGTCACATAGGAGGTTTGAGGCACAATCAAAAACGTCCTATGGTCTACCATGAAGCGCAAGCAAGAGTTCCTCTGCGTTGTACAACATGTCTTAGTCCTATTGGAAAAAGACTTCCACACAACTACAATAGGTTCACATTCCGCGAAAACTTCAAAAATTTGGCCAGTGCTGATCTCAGCGCTTCTGAACAGATTGCTTCGAATGTAATTGCTTCCAAAGATGGCTCTCCAAAAGGAACCATTAGGCTAGCTCAACTAGGTGAGGGTCGCCCTTACCTAGTTGAGCTAGCCTAATGGTTCTATCACCCCAAGTAATAAAACCTAAAGTGAAATATTTAAATTATAATCGCTTTCTTTTCAACCAATTAAATGTTTATTCTTTATTAACAGGCCCAAGTCAAGTGAATTCAGTTGCTTCGTCTGGTAAGACAAGTCTTACAACAAATGATCTTGTAAAAGTTTAACTCAATACTGGCTTGTCGAATCATGGAGTAAAGAAACTAGCAATGACGTTGAACTAGACATCTGCTCAGAAGATAATCGAGCCGAATTTCCGTGCCAAGTTCCAAGAAGCTGGGCAGATGCTATCTGAATTTTTCACTCACTCGGTTTTTGTAGATGCTAAATAACCGAGATAAGGGTTGTCTGGCAGAACCGAGACAAGGGTTGTCTGGCATATCAAGGACTGTGCACTGCAAAAACCTCGCCCATCTTTTGAATGAAGTACTCAAACATCAATATATAGATGACAACCTTGTCAAACTTGGCATTGATGGTGGGGGAGGATTTATGATAATCTTCCTCAGTGTTGTGAGCAAAAGTCAAGGCAAAAATGCAAGCTCCGCACCACAGAAAAAACTCCTCACGCAACAACTAGCCAAGGACAGCAGCTCCAAAAGGCAGCTTCTGGTTGCAATTGCAGAAGGTATGCCTGAAACCTATGAAAATGTGAGGCCCATTTGGTCTCTCATTCGAGCTGACATTCCATCATATCACATTTCATGTGATATGAAGCCAGCCAACATTTTGGTTGGTCTCTAGTCGCATGCAAGTACCCACCCATGTTCATGGTGTGATGTAAAATCCACCAATCTGAATTGCTCAGGGAGACTGAGGACTATCGGCTCATTGAAGGAGAGTTTCGAAAATTTGAAAAAATCGGGAAAGGTCACCTCAAAAGCGAAACTGTTTGGCAATGTCATTCATGAGCCGGTCTTCAACGGAAAAAATGACATCCTCATCGTCGACTTTATTCCACCTATGGAGTTGCACCTTTTGTTGGGAATAGTAAACCTGGTCTTCAAAAAAATCAAAGATGTGTGGCCAGATGTTGAAAAATGGCCTTCTTCTCTGCATATCCAAATTGAGCCTTATCACGGCGGACAGTTTGTCGGAAATGACTGCGAAACACTTCTGAAGAATATTGACAAGCTTCAGCAGCTTGCAGAGGTTGGCTCAGCTTTCCCAGTTTTTTCCTTCATCGAAGATTTAATGCTGTTATCCAAGCATGCTTTGGCATGAATCTGGATGTCCAATACAAAGAAAAAATCAAAAGTTTCCTAGAGGCATTCCTGGCATTACCTCAAGCGTCACTCCAAAAGTGCACTGTGTATTGTGCACTGTGCATTAGTGCACTGCAAAAAGGGTAAAAAATTCAAAGTGATTTTTTTCGCTCGGACGTTGTAACTAGATTTCAATATTTATATATTCTGAATCTGTGGACCATGTAGATTCACCCAGGACAGGTGGCATTCTCGGGTCAAGCCGAAGTAATTATTTCCTATTTTAGACAACTGTGATATATATATATATATATATATATATATATATATATATATATATATATATATATATATATATATATATATATATATATATATATATATATATATATATATATATATATATATATATATATATATATATATATAATTATAAATATATTTTAAATGTTTTTTATTAACGCTAAAATTTCATGCTGACCATCCTATTACATTTCGTTATAGACGTTGCATTAAAAGTTAAAAGGATTTGGTCGAAGTTTCGTGCGTATCAAAATAGAAATTGTTTTTTGAAATAAAAAGAATATAGGTAGAATTAGGTAAAGAAGAATGGACACGAGTTCTCCGCAATATTATTAAACACTATTGTAACTTTGCTATTTAGATAAAATATATCTAATTTTATTATTGTTTTTTAATCGTTTTAATATATATATATATATATATATATATATATATATATATATATATATATATATATATATATATATATATATATATATATATATATATATATATATATATATATATATATATATATATATATATATATATATATATATATATATATATATATATATATATACATATATATATATATATATATATATATATATATATATATATATATATATATATATATATATATATATATATATATATATATATATATATATATATATATATATATATTAAAATGCAACCAAATAATGCTAGTTTAGTTTCTTTATATAAAAGTGCTGCATTTTTTCAATTTAGAGAAATAACTAACTGTTTAGAGATAACGTTCTTCAAGTTTTATTCATGACAAAGTTCATTATTTGTACACGAAAATTAATAAATTAACCAAAAGTATTAAAAATAGTTGATTTCCTTCTGGACAAAACAAGTGCAACTCCACAAAATATTGAACAAGCAAGTTATCAATATTTCGTGCCGAATCCTTGTTGTCACAGCTTTGCATCTTCTAGGCATAGATTCGATCAGGTGATCAATAAAACTTTGTGGATTCGCTGCCCAGGCCTTTTGGATTTGTTCAAATAGTTGATCGTTATAACGAACACCTTCACGATTAATTCTGCGGTTGACAATCTCCAACAGGTTCTCGTTTGGGTTGAGATCCGCAGATTGAGGCGGCCAATCCATCAACGATAGGTTGTTCTCTTGAAACCACTGCTTAACTACTCTTGCAGTGTGTTTCGGATCGTTGTCTTGCTGAAAAACCCATTTTATTGGCGTATTCCATTCAGCATGAGTTAACATAACATCTTTTAGGATATTTTTATACATGAAACGGTCCTTTATTCCATCATTTCGATGTATTGGACTTAGACCGTCGACGTACAAGGCAAATGCCATCGCACCCAATGGTGTTGAACTTCAATTCATCACTGAACAGGACAGTTTGCCATTTCTACATATTCCAGTCAATATAAGATGTAGCAAACAGGAGTCTGTCCTTCTGATTCTTTAGTGAAATCAGCGGTTTCTGTGCAGGGCTTCAAGAAAACAATACGGTTTCAAAGCACGTCGTCTGGTTGTTCGGTACGAGACAGGCAGCTCTAATTGCTTTTGTATCTAGACCGATGATATCCAGGGATCCTTCTTGACGGATATGACGATCCTAGAATCCTCTCTAGAAGTGGTGGAACGCGGTCTTCCACCTTTGTTATCTGCTGCCAACTTCCCCTTAGAACGATATTTGGAACATTGTCTTGATACGGTCCATTTTTTCACGCGATCTTTATCACAAATACTTTTTTGTGACATTTCACTTACGTAATCGCCAATATATTTCTTTCTTAGTTCCAATCTAAGACTGTCAGGAGCCTTTTTTGCACTTGAAGTCATAAAAATAGTAAAAATAATCACGCTTCTTAAAACTTACCGTGTTACATTTACCTTGTGATGATACAATAATGCTCTCACAACGTCTTGATTGGATGTGGACTGTATTGATGTAATGAAACACTTGTTGTAATTCACTTATTCACTTTTTGTATTGATCTTCTTCGATAAAACACTTTGATAAAACTCACTTAGATGTGTGAACCTGTTCTGGAAGATTCTAGATGCTTCTTTTCGATGCTTCTGGATGCGTCTGAATGCTTTTAATTGTTTCTGGATACATCCAGATGTTTCTTCTGGAAACTTTTAGCTTCTGCATGCTTCTGGAAATTTCTGGATACTTCCTTTACTTATTAAAAAACTTCCGTGAAGTTGACACGGACCAGACTTAAGAAAATGAAACAAACAAAAAAAGTTGCATTTGTTTTGTCCTCTGCAAAATAGCACTTGTCAAAAAAATTCTGCCTGTGTGCTGTCACCTGGTAGCTGATTGGTCATGTCATGGCATGGTATGACTCCAGACTCCTGAACTGTTTGCTGTGGTAGTATAGTTCGTTTCTTTTTTAAGACATGTAAAATTAGGAACACTTTTAAGCTTTTGTCCGATGTTGGTTGCAAACATTTTGTCCAATACTGTATGTATATATATATATGTATATATATATATACATATATATATGCATATATATATATATATATATATATATATATATATATATATATATATATATATATATATATATATAATTATTAGAGATTAAAGTGCCATAGTTCGACAACAATCATAAATATGATGAAGTGATTCAGAAGCACTAATAGACAAGCATTGTTTAGGTCGAGGAAGCAGCTTTGAAAAGTTCTGTTTTTAGTCTTTTTTTTACTTAAATTGTTCCAAGTTTGTGGTGCAGATGCGTGGAAAGATTTTGTACTTAGTGATTGCTTGACGACGTACAAGTTGGCAACTTCTGACGATCTTGTGTTGGGGAGCATGGAGGTTTGAATTTTTAAGAGATCAAAAAGGTATGCTGGAGACTATTGATATAGTTTTATAAATTATGGAAGACATCTTGTAGATTATTCTTTGACGTATTAATAACCAATGAAGTGATTGAAGCAAATTTCAGATTGTGAACGGAGAGGAGAGTGACAAACAACAGGAGCTATCTTATTTTAAATACATTGAAGTTTGTTTAAATTTTTTTGAGAAGTTCCAGATAAAAGACTGTTACAGTAATTAAGTCGAGAGTTTACAATTGCACAGCAATTATTTTTGCAGCACTTTTATTAAGAAGTGGACGAATACAATGAATTGCGCTAATATGGTTGCTGCAGGATTTTACAATATTCTTTATGTGCTGCTCATTAGATAGTGTTGAATCTAAGGTAATACCGAAAATTTTTACCAAATTTGATGCAGCAAAAGTTGCACATGAAAATAAAAATTGGGTTTCGTCTTACAATTTAAATGTTTGATTACTGTTTCCAAATAAGACAGCTTCTGTTTTTTTTTTGATTAAGCAGTTGTCTATTTTTAAGAAAATTTTGCACATTGAGCTATATTTTTTATGTGGTCTGTACCTGGTCCAACGGCAGTATACAATTGAGTATCATCAGCATATTGATGGTGATTATATCCAAGTTTAGCTATAATGCGATTTACGGGAGACACAAACATGGAAAATAGGATCTCATTAAAAATCTTGAGGAGTGCTGTTTTAGTTAAATGATTGAGTCGGAAACCCGATTGTAAAGGGTTAAAATTTACAGAGGAAGTTGAATGTGGAAGAAGTTTAGATATAGCATGCTTTTCAAGAATTTTAGAAAGAGCGTTCACATTTGATATAGGGCGTAGATTGGTAGGATCGAAATCAGTTGGATCTGAGTTTTTGGGAATTGGCGTTATTTGGGCAATCTTGTATGAGGCTGGGAAAATTTCAGAGTTAAACAATAGGTTAGCTAGGTGAGCAATAGGTGAGCAATAGGTGAGCAATAGATGAGCAATAGGTGAGCAATAGGTGCGCAATAGGTGAGCAATAGGTGAGCAATAATGATATAGTATAGGTGAGCAATAGGTGAGCAATAGATGAGCAATAGGTGAGCAATAGATGAGCAATAGATAAGCAATAGGTGAGCAATAGGTGAGCAATAGGTGAGCAATAGGTGAGCAATAGGTGAGCAATAGGTGAGCAATAGGTGAGCAATAGGTGAGCAATAGGTGAGCTAGGTGACAAAAAACTTCAGCTCAAGATTTTAGGATGTCAGTAGAAAAAAAAATTGAGCGATGATGTCTTGTGATTTTTGATTATTTTAAAGATTTCTTCAGGTGTATCTGTACCAAACGATAAAGTTGCTGAAGGGAGTGATAGCTCTGAAATGTTGAATGATTTTGAAAGGGCAGTCAGCCTTTCTAGGATTGTACTCTTTACACTTTCAAGTTTGTTAATGAAATATTGATTGATTGTTTCACACTTTTCCTCAGGTATTTTACTGTTATCAGTTACATTTTTAGAGTTTGTGTGCAGTAATTTTTTAGCAATACTCCATATTACTTTTTGATTACCCTAAACTAAATTTAGCTTTTGTTCAAACTAAGTACGCCTAGACTTGTTAATTGCTGCAGATGCCTTACGATATGCATTTTGGTGGAGTTTTTTGTCTACCAATAAGACACTTTTTTTGTAACGATGTTCTAGTTTTCGACGTATGCTTTTACTTTTCTCGGCATCTGCTATTAGCCATTTATCATCGTGCAAACTACGTCTTTTTGCATATTTCTGTATTGATGCCAATCTATCAAGAATAATTGTTAATTCAGTTTTTATTTTTTCTGCATAACTGTCAACGCATTTCGCTGGTAGAGTGCAACATGGCATCATTTGCAGTTTGATTATGAAGCGTCGTAGCCTACTTTATACACGGCCGGATATGTTGCATAAATAGGCCGAAAATAAGAAGGCCAGTTTATCAATATTACAAGTTTTCGGGATTAAGTTTAAATATAATTAAACTGCTAGGTTTTTTGATTTAAGTTAATAAATATATCATTATTATTTAAATAGAATTAAATAGATTTATATAGTAAAATATCTTTTCGTATTAGTTTTTCCTTATTTAAAAATTTTTATATATATATATATATATATATATATATATATATATATATATATATATATATATATATATAATAAATTAAAATGTATATATATATATATATATATATATAAATATATATAAATATAAATATATATATATATATATATATATATATATATATATATATATATATATATATATATATATATATAATAAATTAAAATGTATATATATATATATATATATATATATATAAATATATATAAATATAAATACATATATATATATATATATATATATATATATATATATATATATATATATATATATATATATATATAATAAATTAAAATGTATATATATATATATAAATATATATAAATATAAATATATATATATATATATATATATATATATATATATATATATATATATATATTATATATATATATATATATAATAAA